TCTGCATACCCTACCCGTCTAGTTTCGGGCCAAGAACGGGTGGGGTTTGCAGGATACGTTACCGAGACAGTTTCCTTTTGTGATACCCATCTCCTTTTGGTAAAAAGTCGCACTCACCGCTACTATTTCAACGTGTGGCTCAACAAATGAAACTCGCTGAAGGTCTGCTCTTAAATAATCAGCTCGTATCAGCCTACATTTTGCTGGATCACCTTTTCATATTGATAGGTGATATCAGTCTGCGGTTTGCTTTTTAAGATGTCACACTGACAGATTAGATACGTATTGATTGGAATCGCTGGAGGTTAGTAGATTAGGCGTCTTCAAGCAAATCGATCTATACGTACCTAATCTTGTCAGCGCACTATCCCTGTGTACAATCCCAATATCCGGAGTCGCGAACTATGAACGCAGCTTTAGAGCGCAGACACATGAAGGGTAGCTTCTGCTCAACCATTAGCTTTGAATGATGCCAGAACAGGGAGAAGGGAAGGCTTCAGCTTTATTGCACTATTACAACCCCAGTAGGGGTGAAATGGGTCAGAGTTTTTTTTTTGCTGCAACTTCTGCTAAAGGATGACCGAGGGTCCACTATATGGGATCCATTTTTGGCGCTGGCGCCAAATTGGCGCCATTTGGCGCCACAACTGATTCCCACCAAATTCGCTGTAAACTTGTAAATAGGGGTTATTTGAGGCCCTGATTACGAATATGACATTCGTTTTTATCGTTCGCGCTAATTTAACGCACATTTCTGCTCTCGTATCCTTTATCACTTAAAGGAATCCTTCTCGGAAAAAAACCGTGATTCTATCTCACCCATAATTCACTGGCTTGGACCCATCGTTCACGATAAGAACGAAAAGAACAAAAAATTGCATTTGTTTTGGTAAAAATTCGAAAAACCGAAAGGGCTGCTACGCGTTCAAAGTACCGCCGGACATCTGTCACAAATGCTGGCGACGGGAATGCTTCCACTTGGTTCTCGGAGTGCCGTCACTAGAAACTCTTTCTGGCCTTTTGACTTATTGCATTCACATCTCACACTTCTACTGCATCCTATTCTATCGATCGATTTGTCTCTACTCTCCAAAATCGCACGCTTTAACCCGATTCTTTCATTGCGTCGATACGTAGCCCCCCAAGGCGCACTTTTTTCCATGCCCCGCCTTTGGCTCCGCGCCACTTACATACCTTCGATTGTCCATGGACGCCTACGACTAAGCTTAGAAAAATCTAGTGATTGTGCCGTTTCGGGTAAACCAAGCACCGTGTGGCAAAAGTTGAAGTGTGTGAGACCACAGGGGAGTGGCTACTCACTTTGGAGCCCTCCACTCTCAAAGGCTTAGTCCTGATTGCGATCTAATTAGTGCGAGGGCGCAGACGAGCAGGAAATAGGCGCCGAATAGCGCAACAACAAAAACGAATGTCATATTCGTAATCAGGACCCCAAATAACCCCTATACAGAAGTTTACAGCGAATTTGGTGAGAATCAGTCGTGGCGCCACCTGGCGCCAATTTGGCGCCAGCGCCAAAAATAATATCATATTCGTGATCAGGACCCTCGATAACCCCCATAGAGAAGTTTCAGCGAAAAAATTTTTTGACCCATCTCACCTCCTACTGGGTTGTAACAGTGCAATAGTGCCAAGGCTTCAGCTAAAGCCTGGGAGGGTACTTGAACGTGCGTGAGCCGCTCCGGCGTCACAGAAAAAAGGTGTGCGGGGCCAAGAATGCTGAAAAGGTACAATTTAGGCAAGAGCGCGGATGACGGCAAGGAACTGAGTGCAGTTAAATGTGTGGAATTCAAGATCCGAGTTATACTATAGATCGGAGATTCAGTGAGTCAGGGTCGACCGAGAAAAGCATAACTTCTTGGTTGTAGCCACGGCCGAGCCTTAAAAGTGGATTTTACGATGCAAAAGTTTGAGATCAGCGAGCCATCTACTTTAGTTGGAGGTGTGTCCCACGGTTTTGCCGGCGCAGCAAGCAGCAGTGACAACATTTTGTGAAAGCAGTCGTGCCCACCTAATTCCTGATTTTGAAACACTTCAAATGATTGAATAACTGAACCTTACCCGTGATTTGTCTTTGTATAGTCTGCTCCTATCAGTCTTTCTGTACTGATAGCCATTCGTAAACACTCTGTGAGCTGGACTTCAGATTATTGTATTCTATAGCCATGCACCCACTTCCAACACTACCACTCGGCTAAGGTGGGTGGGTGGCAGCCGGCGCCTCCATTACAAGCACGAAACCCAGTCTAATAAGGGACCAAATAATGGTCAGAGCCAGTCTTTCCCATTATGCGCTTCCATTATTGGTATTTGCACTCCCCTGCGAAAAAACATCGGGAAATTTCGGGAAATGCCTTTCATCAATTTTGACCATCCTGGGGATAAATATACTGCATCCTGAACTACTATTCTAAATCAAAGTTGTAGCACAATCAAAAATTTTTGATTGTTTCGCTCAGAAGTGAAGCGGGAGTGGGGGAGACCGTTGATGAGAAAAAATAGCAAAAGAACTTAGGGAAAACACTTCATGGTAAGACTCCAGTTGGGGGGGGGGGGGGGGCACTTCATTGTGCTCTCCAAAACTAAGTAACCGGAGAGTAGGATAGTACGCGACAATGAAAAAGCATACGTATTGACGGGGAGATTAGGAGTAGTAGATTGAGGATAGTAGTGAGAGTAGGAGATTGCGCTGACAAGATTAGATACGTATCGATTGAAATCGCTGGAGAGTAGTAGATTGCGATATTACGATAGTAGGATAGTAGTAGAGTAGGAGATTAGGATAGTAGTAGATTAGGATAGTGCGCTGACAAGATTAGATATGTATTGATCTATTCGCTTGAAGTCGCCCAATCTACTACTCTCCAGCGATTTTCAATCGATACGTATCCAATCTTGTCAGCGCAATCTCCTACTCTACTACTATCCTAATATCCTGTCGCCTACTATCCTAATCTCCCGAGTCGCGAACTATGAACGCGGCCTTAAGGGTAAGTGTTTTACGGCTATGTAATCGATTCATTTAAAATTACTTCTGATAAGGACCGCTGTATTGTCGAAGTACTCCTAAGAAGCTTTTAGATTCCGGTTTACTGTGTGTCAAAAAAATGCTTCTGAACCAGGGTATGGACCATTCATTCCTAAGCGCAAGAAGGCATACACCGGTCCTTATCAAAAGTGAACCTAATATGAGTGTAAACCTATCATCATAGGTTATTCATAGGGTTAAAGCCCAAAAGAGTACTACGGCTAAGATAACAGGAAGTGCTCTCCTCGCGAACTGAGGTTTCACCCACTTTATGTAATTACCAGCCTTCTCTTCTTCTGAAGCCGACCATGATATGACAGAGAACCCGGCGCGGCGAGAACAGGGATTCCGGAGGAGAGCAACATTATACGAAGTTATACGCAGAGTCAACCCTGCGTTGCGCAGTTTTCAACGGCCACGTTGCGCAGTTTCGCCCGATTAGACACGTTCTCTCGCGCGAACATTCACACTCGCATGCTCGAGCCGTCTGCGTCTCCGCCCATACAGCGTGCGTTGAGGATCTCTCAACGTGCCGTTGCGAACTGCGCAACGCAGGGTTGACTCTGTTCGTGAGAGAGCACGTCATATGGAAGGGCGCACACATCGTCTGTACCACAAACAATTAGAAACGGTAGCGGTCAGCGAGAAATAAGCGAAAAAAGCGGTACCGGAATTCACTTCACTCCCGCCATCATCATCTAACCGGACTGTGGGGTGAAGTCGGATATTTGAAATCGGCTACAAGTCTCGATTAACTCGGGTGCAGACCATACACCACAAGTGACGACGGCCTCCACAAAATGCAAATGTTTTCTGCCAATGAAATGATTAGCCTGTTGCAGTTGTATTCTATCAGTTGTCACTAATTACAACTATCATTTACCAAAAATCAGCTATCACTATGAACCACTACTAACCAGATTTACTTGGAGGCCGTCGTCAGTTGTGGTGTTTGGTCTGCACCGACACTTTCTCGCTTTTTGAAGGGGAGGGTAGATTCAATGACAAAGTAATTTTAGCACTAGGATAGTGAAAATTCGTTGCGAATGGAAGGGAGGCAGGGAGGATCGTTCTCGTCGATTCTAGAAGTGGTATGAGGTAATTGGCATGGAAGGTATCAGGGACGTCTTCCTACATCTTGGGAGAGTTGCAAAAAGTCCAAGGTTTTATTTTTGATTTCTTTGCGAAGTTTTACCGATTAGCTAGAGCAGAAATATTATTTTTGTTGAGACTTTTCTTTCAGAGTAACTGGTGGCCCTGGTTGAAAAAAATGACATTTGGAGCGAGTTTGGCGCGCCACTTCTTTCTCGAATCTGTTCAAAACACACATGAAGGGAAATTCGTTGCCTTGATACATAAAGTGCTTCATAAGCTTCTACAAAAGCCTGATTACTGCACCGGCGCTCATCCGATTTCTCCGCATACCCCCATTCCGGTACATGGACACGATGTGAACTTTTATGTGCACTCAAACCCTCCGTAAGCCCTTTAGAACCAAACTAAATTGTTTCGCCGAGATTCTTCCTCCGTGTCTGTTTTATGGGTTGCGGTAAAACGCCCGCCGTGCATTGCGGTCAACGTGTTTGAAATTGCGTCTACGTCTCCACTCATTCCGCGTTCCGCCGTCGTTTCCAATATCGTTGCACGTTGTTGTTTCTTCCTTACTAAGTTAATGTATAATGAGTAAACAATAAGGCGTAGTGTGGTTGAGCAAACTGTAAAGGGCCTCAAGGATTAAGCCTAAGCAACTGGAAGGAAGAATAACGGAATCTGGAGAATATGAAAATTGCTTCCGCATACCGGAGTCTTTTTTCGAAGGCTTAGTCTTGAAACTTGAGCGTTTAAGGAATCCTGGTGCGATGTTACATGTCCCTCCCTCTCCTCTCTCAAGTCACATTGCACACAAATGAATAAGCGTTTACATGGCCGTATGGCATTTCATCTCTTTACAGAGATGCCTGCTGTTCCTCGAGTGGATCGTATCAAAACAGTGTACAGTGCCGCGAAAGCGCTCAACTTTGCGTGGAGGTTCACTGATTTCCTGAAAACTCCGGCTTACAACGGTGTTTCCAGATATGTGCCCCAACTACATAGGTTTGTGGATTTTAACGTTTAACGATTGCACAAGCGATTAGGCGGTTATGCGGTTGAACGGGTTGATAAAAAAGAAAAGCATACGTAACGATCAGACTGTAGGCTATTAGCTATTGGGCGATAAAGCTCTAAAGAAAGGAACGCAAATGGATTAGGCTAATAGCGAGTAAGCTACGACGATAAGGTAATCGCTTAGCGCGCGGACCTGCAAATCGATACGTATACCATTCATCTTATTCGACTACAAGCCTAAATGCCTAAGAGCTAACTCGCACAATAGCCTAGTAGCCTCGACACGTTTCCTTTTGTTACAGCAGCCTAATCGCATATGCGATCGCGAAGCAAGAATTTTTTTTCTACGAAACTTGTGCTTCGCTCTCTCCTCGTAGCCCCTTTGCACTTGCAACAGCCCTCCGTTGACCAAGTGGAATGCAGTTTAGGCGCTCGCTTAGCAGACAAACCATCGACTATTTGGGTTTAACTTATTGCGCATGAGGCCTTTGCCACAGAAACAATCCGTTGCGATGTTAAGATGCGGCATGAAGGGCCGTGTGCTCTTCCTGCAAGGATGAAAAATTCCCCCGAAAAAGTTTGAACATTGGGTGCTACTCAACTGTTGCAATCCCAAAATCTCTAAATTTTGTTTTTCGTTGAAACTTGGCAATGAAGGTTACTTGATGCCCTGATCACGAAAATGACATTCATTTTTGACGTTGGCGCGCCGCTAGTGCTGTTTTCACCAAATTCGCTGTAAACTTGTATATAGAGGTTATTTGGGGCTCTAGTGCGAGTATAACATTCATTTTTAGCGCTGTTCCAGGCGAAAGAGACTCTAGAAAGCTTGAACGGTTTTCATTTACTATCACACTGCCGCGTGATAGATACCAATTTCTCCTCCCCCCCCCCCGCCGCATTGTTTCGTATAAATAAAGATATAAAGCATTTGCCGTTGATCAATCCCTTTTTGGGATGCGGCACGCATTCTACTTCCATTTGTACATTCGTAGTGGCGTTTGAATGCGATGTGGCCTATACAATGACTTGCGGGGGCCAGCCGATGTACAAGTCAGTGTTTTTATCCTCCCAGACAAGTCTGGTACCAATTAACCGACCCCGGAGGGATGGAAGGCTTGGTTGGCCCGGGCGACTCACGACCCAGGATTTGATCCCCGGACCGCTCGCGTGGTAAGCGTGCCACTTGCCACTACACCACTTCCGCCCTCGTCGAATAGCTTCGTCTAAATAAAGGTTTAACATTCACTGTGCTGACCCACCTCTATACGTAAGATTACAGCGAATTTGGTAAAAGGAGCCCTGGCTAAAAGTGAATTTTATATTCGTAGTAAGAACCCCAAATGAACACGTATACACAATTTGACAACAAATTTGGTGAACACTGCCCTGGCGAGAAACAACGCCAGCGCCAAAAATGAATGTCATTTCATGAGATTAAATTACCATTATAGGCAAAGTTTCGACGAAAAATAAAATCTAAAGATCCCGTAATGGTTGAATAGTACCGAAAGTTCTTCGGTAAATGGCACTGTTGTTCCCCCGCATAATTACCTCCCGAGAGAACTCTACGAATGCCCCCACAGCTTCCTTCCCACAAAGCTTTTTTCCAGAGGACTTTCCGTCGACGAAAGAATAGCGTACGCGAAACAATTCTCCTGTGCAGTTTTCAAATTTCTAACGGTCATATTAATCAGAAGGATATACGGCGCCCGCCACAAAGAGTCGTAGTTGGTGGTCGAACGTCTTTGATTGTAGTCGTAGTTCTACACTGAATTGTTGTCTCGTGGTCTTCTCCGGACCTTCAAGTTTTTCCTATTCAGCTTAAGCTTGATTCCGCGATAAGTTGACTGGGTCAATGTGGCTCCCCCACTTTCTTCACGATTTGGGGCGCGGCCGCGGCGAGCGCGGACGAGTCGATAGTGCCCGCGAACTGTGCGGGTAGGTTTGAAACCACCACACAGTTCGCGGGCACTATCGACTCGTCCGCGCTCGCCGCGGCCGCGCCCCAAATCGTGAAGAAAGTGGGGGAGCCGGTCAATGTACTTTAGGAGTTGTAAGTAAAGTGGTCCGGCCTTTAAGTCTGCAAATTTTACCTATTTCATGGCTTTGATGTGCATGACAGGAGGCTAAGAATATAGTTCTAGGAACCCCCACCAAACAACCTTTGATAGGAATATACAGGGTGTCCCATAAATATTGCACCACTTTTCTTTGAGTGTAACTTCTCTCAAAACGTATGTATCTTCAAGAGCTTATACACAATTCTTAGCCATACATTTACATATTTGAAGGAGTGATGTTTATTAGACATGACCCCCTGTTGCTGTGATTATGGCTCCCGATTGCTTCGAAAGCAACACTACTGCGGCCCGCGTAGCATTCTGGGGTTCTCCCTTCGAAAGTTAGCTGTAAAGAGGCTCCGGTTGATCGATGTGAGTGCCATGTTGGGAGCAGGTTCTGTCCCTTAATACAGCCCACATAGGTTGGATCAGCACGTTGGAATCAAGGAAGAAGGGGGCCGTTCCTTTGAGGATATGAAATTGTAAGGAGTAGCTTGAAACCGCTTCTGAACAATTTTTGCCTCCTCTGCAGAAGCTGGGTTCGATTGGAAAAAACATCATTCTCCCCTCAAAGTGGCTAGATACCTTAGTAACAGATGATGCACAAAGATGTCCCTCAGGTTGGTCTGGCATCGAGTTGTGTTCCTTTTTGAAGAGGCAGTGGTCGTGAGCGACCGGTACTTGAGACCTCTGACTAGACCGCGACAGGAATTGGTTGCTACTTCTGAAGAATATTCCTCTCTCTTTCTTTGGCAGCCTTAAGACCTCATGCGAGTATCCCCAAATTTTGGAGATTGTAGCTCCGCTCCATGAGAGGAATTTTGTCGCCGATGAAAACGGTGCCCTCGTAATCACCATTTTCGGCCCTCGACACCAGCTCTTTGGACTTTTTGTATCTGCGGCGCTTCCCTGGTTCGATAGAGCAGTGGCGCTTGTGCAGCCTATAATGCTGTGTAAGCAGTTGTTGCTTGACCACTCTTCACATGATTGTGCTCAAACACTTCAGCGTTCTGGTCGGCTTTCTCAAGCGAACTTCGAGTCGATCCGCTTCTTCATGCTTTACCTGTAATCCAAGATAGCAGAACATAAGGGGCGGCCGCATTGGAACCTACATTTATGATTCTTCTCTTCGGTGCGTGATAGGTCGCGGAGCGGTTAAGATTACAAAGATGTACGATATTTATTACCGTTCGTCGGACCTAGCTGCGCGAAGGATTTGGCACTCTGTTGAGGTTTATGCGCGCGATGAGATGTAAGTAGAACGGTAAGGCGTGCAATTTGGCGTGGTAAATCACAAGAGGTTAGAGGATTAAAATGTCTACCAATCTCGGATGGAAAACTATAAACGCCCACAGAATTGAAGTTCAAAATGTGGTGCAATATTTATGGGACACCCTGTAACTATAATTGCTATAGTCTTACCATTCAGCAAATAAATGGGTTTCATGCCATTTTTTAGGGAGGACATAACAAAAGTTCGTCAACTTAGTCGAGATTTGTTCCCGTTGTATTCAATATTGAGCTTCTTTCAGGATAACTTTTCGCTTTTGTAAGCAAAGCGAAGCAAGCGTCGGTGTGCGGAATTTCATTGAGCGCAGAATTTTAGAACTTGGTTAGCTTTTTAAAGTTCAAATGGATAGGCTTTGTTTTCAAAAATATTAAGCTTACTCAGGGGATTTTTCTACCTTTTTCTTCAATTTCAGGAGCTCGTGTGCCATCTGTAGTTGTGTATACGCAACCTGTTCGCAATACCGTTCCTGTTATCCGTGCAGAATACGGAAATGGACGAATTGTTCAGCTGAACGCCAAGAATATGAGTATGGAAGATGTGGAACGGGATGTTAATCTCCTATATTCTCGAAGCGGTCTCCCAGTTGTAAAATTAGAATCTCCCCAGAGTGCCGCTACACCTTCTGTACAGGCTTATTGATTTCTTGAAGTGTCTTAATTTTTTTGATGTTTTGCTTTCAATAGTTCTTGATTACAACATATATACTTATTTTGTATCGTATGGATGAAGGCTTTGTTGACTTTTTGACCATTGATTCTTCTGGTACCCCCCCCCCAGGAGGCCCGTCGCGCGGCAAGAAGGCAGAGTCGGCGGACGAGTTGCAGCGCGTGATGTGCGATGTAGGACGTGCAATGGACATTCTATTTAACTTGACGCGAAATCCCTATAGTACGCGCGCGACTCGTCCGCTGACTTTGCCTTCTTGCCGCGCGACGGGCCTCCTGGGGGGTACCCCTCTCAGTTACCCTATTTCTTCACTCCTACTCCTAAGAAAAAAAGGAAAGTTCAAGAAAAACAAGTTTGTTATAATATATGAATGTGAGTTAGACTCCATTGAAATACTTCCTTTCACGGAGCAACTTGATTACGATGAAGTTTGTTTTGCGACGCAATCCCAATTTCGTTTCACCATACTGCGAGGGTGGGTCACGTTCCAATGGTGTCATTGTTTCTGTTACTATGGTTGCTACATGTCACATTAACTTAACTTTCAAACTCACTAAAACTTCACTTCCAGGATCCTCCAAAATTGGCGCAACTGACCGCTGAGAGGGTGGGGGGATCTCAATGTCCCCAGAATGTTGCAAACAAATCCCTTGAATGTATAATGTATTCCACAAGGTAGTTGATCAGATAAAAAAGACCGCTCAAGGATGGTGGTTCTCTAGCAGAAGCCTGCGATCAATAAGCAAAAAAATGCACACTGCAAATTAGAGCGGCCAATTAGCAATTTTTGGGAATCTCGTGTTATGTTCCGAATTGTATTCCCTTTTTATGCCGATTGAGGTTGTCAGACAGACTGCTTGTCTCTAGGCATGACCCTTTTACTTCTTGAGTTGCCTGGAAATCCCAATTTTAGTGGAGGCATGATTCACGCCCTGTCTTGTATCCCTCTTATTAGCGCAACTATTCAAGGGCGTGTGAAAAGATCCCGCCCCAATGGAGTCAAGCTCGAAGAATTCCAAAAATCGAAAATTATCCGAACGAATAAGATTTTCCTTTTTACCTTAACAAAACGATACAATTTGATTCACAATGAAAGGTGGCGGCAGGACACAGCATGAAAATAACTATTTTCTGGTAAAGTCAGTTACAGTTTTTGAGTCCAACTTCTTCTACTATTGTTTGGTGTAACGAGGAAGTCCCTCCGCGGAGCATCCTAAGTAAAAGTTATTGGCCTGTATGCCATCCCCCTCATAAAAAGGGTGGGCGGCAAATTTTCATTTCAAGTCTTTTTGTTTCTGTACCAACCAGAATGCTACAAAAAAAAGTGATTTTAAGGTATGATATGTATATTAGTGTAACAGCAGAAGGTAGAGGTAGTATTTCATTGGAAACGATAAATGATCAGGAATCGCAACTAAA